GGCCCCGGGGGGGGGGGGGGGCACCGCCCGCCGCAGCTGTGGGCGCTCATCTCCGACATGGCTCACGCCGCCGCGTCCATTAAAAAAGTTCGCGAGGCTGAACTGGATGAAAAGGAGAAAAATCTTGAGAGGGAGAGAAAAAAACAACGGAAGACCCCCAGGGAGCGCATGGAACGGAAAAGGAAGGTAGGAGTCCGCACCTTCTGTGTAGCTCGGGCGAACCCGGCCTGAGCCGCGCGTCGCCCGCCCCGCCGCCACCCCGCCCCTGCGGCGTCTGCAGCCGCCGGAGCTGGAGCCCGGGGCATCTGCGGCCAGAGCAGGTGGCTGCGGAGCAGGTGGCTGCGGCGGCGGGGGGCGGGCCCCCGGGCCTCCTTGGCCGCGTCCCTGGGCGTCTTGGCTCGCCGTGGGAGCCAAGCGCTCCAAGGAGCTGAAACGGAGGGAAGGGTTGATTTATGGGCGGAGGGTGGAGGGGTTTCCTCTTCTCGTTTCTTAGCACTGCACAGTCGGGCGGGCTGTGTGTTCGAGGGAGAGCAAATCACAGGTTTTCCTTTTGATTTTTAGGTTTTGGTCATAGGGCACCCATGCTTGCAAGAGAGACAGACAGAGGGGAAGTGAGAAATCCGTCCCGGGACGGGGGGTGGTGGTGGTGGTCACACTGCAGTCCCTTCTCCATTCTCCTGAGATTTGGGGTATGCATGCACCTGTACCTGGCGTCATGTTCAAGCCCCCATGTCGGGACTCGAACTGTGGTGCGCCACGTGGGAGTCCAGCATCTTAGCCACCACGCCACGTGCTGGCCCACAAACCACAGGTTTTGCTGCCTTTTTCTCCTGAAGGATGACACTGCTCTATGTGACCCTGCCCCAAAGATCATGATGCAGGCCTCTCTGCATTTTTGAAATCCTGATGAATTGTTTTGTGTCATTAATCTTGTAATTTTTTCCTGAACAGGTAGGTAAACAGAACCCTGAGGTTAATTAAATACAAATAATTTCCTTTACATTAAACTACAATTGTTACCTCTATCTTTCCTTAATATATTTTTTTCCTGTGAAATAGAAATCTTACAACTTGATGGAACTGAAATACCCGTTTAGCTAGTGGGCTGGATCTATAAGGGGGAATAATTTCTATAAATGCTCTAATTAACAAAGTAGGTCACTGAATAATTTAGGAGCTGATAAATGGCATCCTTGGTGAGCTGAGCATGAAAGGTGTTTCACACAGACCCGGTGAGACAGACCGGGCAGGGCGCCCTGGGACCACGGGTCGCCTGTGCTCGGGCGCTCCCCCTGACCCCCGTGTGTGCGTTCACCCTTCCCTGGGGGCTGTCATCTGCCTCCTGTGTGGGTGGGCACTTGAGGACTCACCCTGGGATGAGACCCTACTGCGGGGCGCTGTCGGGGTTCAGGGTGGCAGAACCGGTGATGGTCAGCACTGCGGACAGCGTCTGTGCCGCTCCCCTTCCGGGAGACTTCAGTGTTTCCCCCTGCCTGACCATCTCCAGGCCGTGTTCCCCGCCGCGTGGGCTTTCTTACCCACCAGGCCACACAGACACGTTTTGGCCACTGCCTGCCTTCTTGATAGCCACACAGTTCTGTCTCTAGGCCTCTCCCTGGGACGTTACTGCATAGCACAATTCCCTGTGACTGTATCTTTCTAATCTGTTCTCCAAAACACAGTCCAGTCTGGTGGCTGGGTGGCTGACCAGCACCAGTCACCTGGCAGCCTGGCCGACTGGCATGCCGCACGCACCCCAGGGAACCGCGGTCTCACCCCGGCTTGCTTCCGGGTCTTGTTCAATGCCTTTCCTTCCTTCTCTTAAGCGCTCGGAAGCTGCATCGCGCGTGGAAAGGCCGGCAGTGGTGAGCATCTTGGCTTCCAGGGCTGCCTCGCTCAGCCTGGCCCAGCACGGCAGGCAAGATCGCTGGGTGGTGGTGTGCTTACGTGACAGGTGTGCCACGTCGGCGGGGAGCAGGAGCCTGGTGGCAGTGCACAGCGTCTGTGTGTTCCTCTTCTGTCATTCCCGTGCGCCCGGTGCCGGGTTCCCACTGTGGTGTGTGTGGCAGAGGTGTGCCCAGCCCCACAGGTTTCAGCTCTGCCTGGCGCTATCTCGGGGCTCCTTTCTGGGTGGACCCCTCCCAGCCAGGTCTCAAATCTGGTCCTGGAGCATCCACCATTACTGCTCCTCAAGAAGAGTAGGACGACAGTTCATGAAAAGGGATGGCCGCCTGTTGGGGGCATTGTAGAACATTTTCTCCAAAAAGCAATTTAAGGGTGATCCTCACTATTTGCTGATGCTATTTAACACACAGAAGACACATTAACTGTAGGGTTATTCTCATTTCCACCTGTAAAGCCCTTGCCACTGAACTTGCTCATTTGAACAGTTCAGATGAGACCCTACCAGTGCGGAGAAGATCCAGTATGGAGCCAGGGGGAGGGAAACTGATTTTGTGAGGATTTTTACCAAAGTAAAACTATCAAGTATTAAAACAATTCAATTAAACAGCCTCGTATTTGGGCTTCGTTTATCGTATAAGCTTGCCGTTAACTGAAAGAACCTCTGTGTTGTCGTTTTGTAGTCCATGAAACATTTAAAGCAATTTAAATTTACTTCCAAACTTGAAATGCATTGCGTGCTTGGTTCTTACTCCCTACCATGTTGTCTGGTGTGGTTTAAAAATATGGCTGTTGGGGCCAGCAGGTGGTGCGGTAGTTAAGGCACTGGACTCCCACATGGCTGGCCGTGGTTTGAGTCCTGGACCCAGTGGCTTGAAAATCACTCCAAGTGCATGTGGAAGCGTGCCCCAAATCCCAGGAGGAGACTGGAGAATGGACTGCTGCGTGGCCATCCCCTGTGGGGGGCGGTTTCTCTCCTTCTGTCTGTCTCGGGCAAGCACATGCCTATGGCAAAAACCTTAAAAAATGACTCTATTTGTAGACTAAGGAACCCAGTTTCAACCTCATTATGAGCAGATTTCATCTTAGAACGTGTCCAGGCTTCCCTGGACTGCCCCTGGGGAGCTGATGCTTACGTTGAGCATGTGTGGCTGTCCACGGCGCTGTCCCCCATCCTGTGTGGACCGCGCACAGTACTTACAGCTGACGGGCTAAGATCAAGAGCTGGAACAAGCTGCTGAGCACATGCGCACACAGAGTTGACCCGCCATGCTTTTTACGGGGATAGGAGGACGTTTCCGTTATAACGATTTACTTATTAAAAAGTCATTTTTCACATGTATAGATTTCTGGTTTCCACGTTAGAATCTGAGACTGTATATGACGTGGGTACCCAAAGGAGCGGCTGGCGAGGTACCAGTGTTCGCACAGCTCGGTGACAGGCCTGCTGGAGACCGAGCGTGCCGTTGTTCCATGCTCCATCGGTTGCCCAGCTAAATCTAGATTTAGAAAAATAAATCATTTTCAAAGAAAGCTAGTGCATCCTACAAAGTAAAGCATGTACTTAAATGGTCTTTCTCATTGAACCTTATGATCACCATGAATGTTTAAAATATTTATTTATTAAACTTTATTTATTATTATTATTTTTTAATTTGACCAGAGAGAGAGACAGAGACAGAGAATGGAAAAGTGAAAGCAAGTTGCCATATCTGGGACTCAGACCACAGTAGGCCACGTGGGAGCCTCCTGCCGGCCGATAACCCTGGATGTCCCGTAAACCGGTAGACGTGGACAGACTGTTCTCCAGCCCTCATGACGCCCACTACCCTCACTGGAACCGTGTGACATAGAAGACAGTTAGTGTGACACTCATTCTAGCATCTAGAAGCAGTTCCTAGGATCTTAATTTGTGCTAATGAGAATGGCAGAGGCCATATTTCCTGAAAACGCTTCTGATGTACCGAGTGCCACGGGGCTCCCACCTGGCGTCCTCCTGCCGTGCCGTGCAGCCTGTGCAGTTCTGTGCGCGGCCGATGCTGTCTGGATTCCACAAACAGGGAAACTGAGACAAAGGACGTTACGGGACTTGGTCAACCACCTACCACTGGCATGTGGCAGAGGGGAGACTGAACCCAGGTCTGACCCCTGAGTTCACTGGGGGAAGAGGCAAAGGGATTTCTCCCGCGTGCCACTGGATTAATGCTTCCGCTTCTTCACCGCCAGCTGCTGCCCTACGGCTGAAAGAAATTGAGAATAAATAAGTGGCACACTTGAGAAACTATATAAATTTAAGACTGATTCTGTTGTCATTGCACCAGAATATTTCATAAGGTGTCTTGAAAATGCGGCCACTGGATGTGTGCACCTGCTCGCTGCCGCCGGTGTGCAGTGGGCTCCTGGCGCCTCGCTGCGGTGCTGTCAGGGACTCACACTCTGTGTCTGTGCTCCTTCGATTGAAGGGCAGTTTTGTAGGAGATTAAATAGGAAATAAAAGCAAACCTTCTACCAACTCCTTTTCACTTAATTTCACAGAGAAAAGGAGGTTCTTACTAGTTTTTTTGCCTTTTAAAATGTATGTAGTTATCATCTCGGGAGGAGTGAGGGTTATTCCTTTGGGGAGACCTTTGAGGGACTCCTTGCAGATTGGGTATTCAGTTGACGATGCTGACACTTGGTGAGTATATGTACTGGACTTCCCACCACGCTGTTAAGGGAAGTCCCAAGATGAAGACTTTAAAAAGTGTAAGGAGAACTTTTTTCCTTTTTTTTCTTTTGGAGAGTTTTTTTTTTTTTTTTTTGCTATAGGGTGCATGCGCTCGCCAGACAGACAGAGAGAGACAGAAAGCGAGAAATCACCCCCAGGGAGGATGGCCACACTGCAATCCCTTCTCCTCCATTTTCCTCTCGGGATCTTGGGCATGCACGCACACGCACCTGGCATGACTTTTAAGCCATTGGGTCTGGGATGCGAACTGCGGTTGACTACGTGGGAGTTCAGTGACATAGCCATTACGCTAACTGCTGGTCCCGGGAGAACTCTTTTCCTAATGGAAGGGTTTTACTTGCAAGTTGATAGAGTATTGTATTCTTAACTTCTGACCGTGCTGTGAGAATGAGCTGTGAGTGGAATCAGCAGATGGCATGATGTCTATGTCACTGGATTCCCGTGTAGCCCACTGCGGTTTGAGTTCTGGACTTGGTGGCTTAAACTCACACCGGGCGTGTGTGCATGTGTGCCCAAGATCCCAAGAGGAGACTGGAGGAGAAGGGATTGCAGCGTG